TTGTACTTGGGTTCACTCTTCTAAATAGTCCAAAGTATAAAAGGTAGATGGGCTCTTAGTAGCAATTTATTAGTAGGTACATAGACATCTTTTCAGCAGTATGAAACCAAACTCCCTAAGAAAGAGAAAGAGCAGATAGGAAGAGGTAATGATCCAACTTCTTGGACAAAAATTTGCTAAGATTTTACTTTCCCTGGGTTTCCTGCACTCAGTTGTCATCACCGCTGCAAAGCAGACTCCAGAGTGAGGCCACTTATCATTTACAACTGTGTGTGGGGGCTGGGGGTGTGGAGTGCAGATAGAGGAGGGCAAAGAGGGGATAAATAGTGATGGATTAAATTAAATGTAAAAATAAATAAATAAAACTGGCTCAAAGAGAGGCAGACCTCCCTTTCCTTGGCTCTTTGTATTTAAGTAAGGATTTTGTAATCAGAATAACTATTCTACATGGATGTTTCCCAAACTGGATATTCCAAACCATGTTGCTCTGCTAGTGTGACTCATGTATTTTGAAAATCAGTGTGCTGTGCAAATGTCATCCGATGCAACAAATAGGTCTTACGGTAAAAACTGGGGTTAGAAACACAGCTTCCATGAACTTCATCGGTGACATGATAAAAAAAAGAAAGATAGGAACAGTAGAACAATTTTATACCATTTACTAGTTAAAAATATGTAAACCTACAACAAACATGGCACTTAACCTAGAAAAAGACCTGTGTCCAGTTTGCCTGAGGAAGTGAGTTCAGAGGGTTACAGCCCGTGAGTTCTTATGAAGTGGTAGAGGGAGGATTATCTGAAATTTCAGGCGACATTGCCACAGGTGGGGTGGGTTGTGCTTCATAACATATGCAGTGGGCTGAGGTAGCTGGAAACGTTTGGTGTGTGTATGTTTTGTGGGCCACATGTGTTTCGGTCCAGCTGGGTGCAGTTTTCCCCATTGTTTCTCCTGTAGGAAACGGTGCAGAAACAAACACAAAATTTGTGTAACTCTCAAAATGTTCCCCGATGTACCAGTCAAGTTTGCAGCACATTTCCATGTTCTAAATGAGCACTATCACAGAACTGAGAACACTTTGTACTTGAGAAATAAAAATGGGAGAAGGTAGCTTCTATGTTCAAATAAGTTTAGGAAATAAGCTGATTAAGCAATGTCGAATTTTTTTCTAGTGAAAAATTTCAGAAACTTTATATGCTAATGTAAACGCTTGAAACTTCAAGAAGACAGTGGGTTTGCAATACTTTTCAAAATTATTTGACCTTGAAATCTCCTTTTTAAAAAATGTATTTTATTGTTGAGAGTATTAAAGATGTCCCCCATTTTTAATCTGTGGTGCAAATAACATTAACATATCCTAAAAAATAATATTCCATGTAGCACAGTTTGATAAATACTTCTCTTTAGTAATATTTCATATTTATTGTTAAAAAATGTAAAACAGGGATTTTGTTCAGAGAACTATATTATGATCTAACTCAGTTTTATGTATATTTAAAAAAATCTGAAATAAATTTTTAAAAATACCATTAATGTGTCTAACATTGCTGGCTGCATTTCTTCTGGCTCATAGAGAACTGAACTATAACAGACAATTAAAATGCCTCCTTGGAGTTAATAAAACTGTCATCTTTTCAGCATAATTAACTATACAGCCAAAATTTTATAAATCTACAACAAAAAAGTAAACTTGAGATTTTAAATGCATATGCTTCTCTGGGATTTCAGGGTGGTCATGACTATAAATAAAATCCTTTTTGTGAAATCTAAAAGAAAGGGAGTTTTGTTTTAAATTACTAATTTTACCTATTATATCATTTTATATACACACACATGCACACTCACACAGAGGGGTAGGCAAAGGTAGGTTTATAGTTGTGAGAACTTGAAAGATTTTATTGTTGTACTGTTATATATTTATTTATTTTTGTTTGTCTTGTTTACTTATTTATATTATGTGTCTCCTTCTTGAGCATTTACAAGATTGTATCTAAGTGCACTAGGCCATTGTGATATTCTTTTGAGTTAGTAAAGCTATTGTAACAATCATAGCCTGCATAGCCATATAAATAACTACAAACCTACTTCTGCCCTCCCCTTTATAGTATACCTATTAATACATTTTACAAAATAAGGTTGATTTTGCTTTCATAAACATAGGGAAGAGCATTCCAAGCAGAGGTAACAGAAAAACTCATGGAAAAATCTCTAGTGTGAATGCATGTAGCTAGCACAGAAGTAGACTGCAATGAAGAAGAGTGAGAAGTGACTGGCAAGGAGAAAAGGAGGAGTCAGGCACACAGGTAGAATCAAAGGTGTTTTATAAAAGATTGCGTGTAGGGATTTTGGAGAGAGATGGAAAAGTCAAGGATATTCTGAATTTTAAGCCTAACCAAATGGGATAATGATGCCACCCGGAGAAGTAGGAGGACAAAGTCAAGAGTTGGCTCAGGGAGATTATACAGAGTTGACTATCTGTTCCTTAAACACTTCAATAGATTTCTTCCCGGTTGCTTACTTATTAGGTAATTCACTACTCACACGAGTCCAAAATCAGGGAAAACAAGGATTTTCATGGGTTTTCTGCTTATAAGTAGCTCCATTCAAAAGCTTAAAAGTAAAGGTAATTAATGCTAGTTGCTGTGACAGGTAAACACCAATATTTCAGCAGCTTAATAGTAACATTAATTGCTTGTTCATATCACAGTTCCATTAGTGGGTGGACTAGAGTGTGGAGGGATTTGGGGATATGAGTTGTTCAGAGACCCAGGCGCTTTCCATGATACGGTTCTGTCATCTATAACAAAGGCTGCAAAGACATTCTGCAGCCAGGAGGGAAAATGTGTAGAATCATGAGGAGAGAGCAGAATGCCCATCATTTATTTCAACCCATTAGCTAGACTTCAGTCATAAGGCCCCACCCAGTCCCAAGAATGGATGGAAGATGTTAACTTAGCTCAGTGGTCAGGAATAATATTTCTCGTTGTCTTTGTCACAAAGGGAAAGAAGGTAAAGCCCTCCCCTAAATAATGGAGGACTAAAAATTAACCTGGAAATAATTTTCTCTTATTGTTCCTGTTATCAGTAGCCACAAACAATACAGAACTAAAACCAAAAACAGTCATAGCAAGAGAAAGACACTATGTAAAACTTCATAACCTGAAGTATAATTAATCTGAAAAATAACTTTTCCACAATCTTTCAAACTTAGCTTAAACAAAGCATTTAGAAACTCTGATAAATAACTAGCATGCACTCATCTTGGCTTGAATAAGTAAAGTTGCCAAGTTATGTGTGGATTTAATTTACAAAGCCTTCAGTTACGGAGGTAGAATGGCTGCCTTAAAAATTTTCCAATTTTTCTATAACCTCTCTCCCTCTCTCTCTCTCTCTCTCTCTCTCTCTCTCTTCCTTTTTCTTTTTTATCTGCACGTTCTCACATAGCTGGTGGTCATTTGCATGTCTTCTTCGGAGGAGTGTCTGTATTCAAGTCCTTTGTCCATTTATAAATTGGTTTATTTGTGTGTGTGTTTGCTATTAAGTTGTAAGAGACTCTTACATATTCTGGATATTAACCTCTGATGAGATACATGGTTTGCAAATATTTTCTCCCATTCTGTAGGCTGCCTTTTCACTAGGTTGATTGTTTCCTAGTGAAGAAGCTTTTTTCTTTTTTTTTTTAATATATTTTATTGATTTTTTACAGAGAAGAAGGGAGAGGGACAGAGAGTTAGAAACATCGATGAGAGAGAAACATCGATCAGCTGCCTCCTGCACACCTCCTACTGGGGATGTGCCCGCAACCCAGGTACATGCCCTTGACCGGAATCGAACCTGAGACCTTTCAGTCCGCAGACCGACGCTCTATCCACTGAGCCAAACCGGTTCGGCGTGAAGAAGCTTTTTAGGTTGATATAATTCCCTTTGTTTATTGTTGCTTTTGTTGCCTCTGATTTTGGTGTAAAATCCAAGTCATTGCCAAAATCATTGTGAAGAAATTGTTGCCCAATGGGTGTAAAGTTTCAGGTATGAAAAATGAGTTAGTCCTAGAGACCTGCTGTACAACATGGTGCCTATAGTTAACACGGTATTGTGCCTGTAATAGTTATTGTCACAAAACAAATGAAAAAGAATACAAGGAAATTTTTGGAGGTGATGAATATGCTTACTACCTTGATTGTGATGATGGTATCATGAATATATGCACATGTACAAACTCATTAAAATGTATACAATACATACGTGCAAATTTTCTGTATCAATTATACTCAGTAAAGCTTTAAAAATGGAGTGTTGTCTAGTTAATGTAAACATTCTAGGTTTAGAGTTAATATAATTTACATTAATGCTCTATGGCTTTTAACTATTGTAAATGAAAATAAAACTTTTCCAGCTATAATAAAAGAAACTTTATGATGGAAACATATCAGATATTAGTGCATAAGAAATAAACCCCTCTTGAACCTTTGATAAATTGTAGCTACCTATACAGTTCTTCCATCCATAGCACAGTCTCCTGTATTCTCAAATATTCTGTGTTTCTGGCATTTTAAATTGAAGCATTACTGCCTGAGTTCTTAATTCAAAGAAATTTAGAGGGAAAATAAATTCAATATCCTGGTCACCAAGCACCGTATCTATTTCAGAAACACACACACACACACACACACACACACACACACGTCTCTCTCTCGCTTTTAAGCAGGAATAAACCTGGGTGCCTCAAGATGGCTTGTTCTGATATCAAAGAATGTCCTCTAGGGACCCAGTTGTTTTCCTTGAAACTTAAAAAGGGAAATTTATTCTCTCACATCCTGCCGGCTTCCCGATCCCACAGCTTCTGCATCTGACTCAGAGCTGCCTGCAGTTTGTATCCCTGAACATCACCGTCGTCTGTCTTCCACGGGACTTGGATTGGTCAAACGAAAGCAGAGGAGGAGCCACTCTGAACATTTTTTTCCCCTCCACACACCATAAAATCAGCAGCAGCTACTAACGCTCAGAGCAATGCTGGTGGGAGCCTCTGAGAGGCAGCTGATGTGGGCATGTGCGCACACACTGTCTCCCAATGGCACCGCAGCTCCTAGGAGAATCATTTTGAAAAGACCTGAATGCCTAAGACTATAGTTAAACTGAAAGTGAGAACCAAAAAACAACAACAAAAAAAGCAAACAGCAGGCTCTTTTGACTGAGAATAAGCACTTTGAAGCCAAAGATTTTAAAGGGACAGGGATAGGGATGAGAGCAGTACCTGAAAGAGACTAAAACTTCCATTTCAAGCTTTGGAGCATGTGACAGTTATTCACAACAGGGATGCCACGTTCAGCCTCCTAAAGGACAGAAAAAGACCTGCAGAAAATCCCTGAGGCCACCTGACCCAGGAGCTGAAGCAGTTGAGAGGGGATTTGAATCCACTGACCCAGGATGAATTCCACTCACCACCACAGAATGCACACCTCTCTCCACTTCCGGAACCTCAGCACCCACAGGCTGCACAGCAACGCCAGCGAGCCGCTGGGGAAAAACTACTCTGAAGGAGGGTGCGCCCAGCAACTTTTCGTCTCTCCTGAGGTGTTTGTGACTCTGGGCGTCATCAGCTTGTTGGAGAATATCCTGGTGATTGTGGCCATAGCCAAGAACAAGAACCTGCATTCCCCCATGTACTTTTTCATCTGCAGCCTGGCTGTGGCTGATATGCTGGTGAGCGTCTCGAACGGAACAGAAACTATTGCCATCATCCTGCTGAACGGCACAGACACGAAAGCGCCGAGTTTCAGCGAGAACATTGACAATGTCATTGACTCGGTCATCTGTAGCTCCTTGCTCGCATCCATTTGCAGCCTGCTTGCCATCGCAGTGGACAGGTACTTTACTATCTTTTATGCTCTCCAGTACCATAACATCATGACGGTTAAGCGGGTGGGGATCATCCTGAGCTGTATCTGGGCAGCCTGCACGGTGGCGGGCATTCTGTTCATCATTTACTCAGAAAGCAGCGTGGTCATCATCTGCCTCATCAGCGTGTTCCTCACCATGCTGGCTCTCATGGCCTCCCTCTATGTCCACATGTTCCTCATGGCCAGGCTTCACATGAAGAGGATCGCTGTCCTCCCGGGCACCGGCACCATCCGCCAAGGTGCCAACATGAAGGGGGCGATCACCTTGACCATATTGATTGGGGTCTTTGTTGTCTGCTGGGCACCATTCTTCCTCCACTTAACATTCTACATCGCTTGTCCCCGGAATCCATACTGTGTGTGCTTCATGTCTCACTTTAACTTATATCTCATACTGCTCATGTGTAATTCCATCATTGACCCTCTCATTTATGCACTCCGGAGCCAAGAGCTGAGGAATACCTTCAAGGAGATCATCTGTTGCTACCCTGTCAGAAGTCTTTGTGACTTGTCTAGCAGATATTAAATGGGGACAGAGGAGATGCTAAAAACATGCATAAGAGACTTTTTCATTCTTACAGAACCTGAGCAGTGTGCTTCAGTGACAGCTTCTTCTGTGGAGGGCATTGGTCGAGAATATCTATTGCATAAATTTAAGTTTATGATTTGGGGTATGCAAAAAGGCCCAGTCTCTATATTTTTAATGTCATGTTGCTCTTTGGCTGTGCAATGTTTGCATGAAAACACCTTTGACTATGCAATGTTAATCCATATTATAGGTCGTAGACACTGTGGATTTACAGAAAAGAAAAAAAAGTTCTTATTAAAAGCTTAACAATGTCTCTTTCTTGTAACTTATAAAGATGTGACACTTTGCTTGTTGTAGTAACAGCCTCATTTAATGTATTCTTATCAATGGTTTCTTATATTACACTGGATGTACAACAATGTAATGTAGAGATTTGAGTCTCACATTTAAGGGGGCAATATTAAAGAACAGATGCTTACTCATTAAAAAAAAGTCAGCTGAAATTTCAAGTCATTTAGTAAAACATGTTCATTTTCCCTGTACACAGTAGAAATGAAGTTCCAATTGAGAGTAAAACAGCTATTGAAAAAAAAAGTGAATTTTTGAGTCAGAAAACTGTGTTTCTCAAAGACAGGGAGATCAATCTCTCAAGGAAATAGTCTGCTATTCCACTCAGGCACTTCCATCTGGGGTGGGAAGTGGGGGGAGAAAGCAGCTATGGGGATCACAGTGTTCTGGAAAACCTGAATTTACAGGTCAAGCTAAACTTCCTGATACCAACCTATTTCCACTCATCATTACAGATAATAAGGTCTTTCTGCCCCTTTAACCAGAAACTCATTGTCTGCTGAAGTGTCCGGAAAAGGTGGTGCTGCCCCGAGAGCTGGCTTCTGATCTCTAAAAAAACACAGCTAGCATTGAGTTCTTTCACTTTTCACATGGAAGTGACTTGGTGTTTACTTATGACATGAGTACAATTACTCACCAAGGATTTTAACTTTAAAAGCCAAATCCATAGCACAAGTATTTTCAGGAAATATTTGTGACTGTCTAAAGTAAGGGGACCACTGATGCTGACACATTTTGAGCAGGAAGTAAGACACTTAACCCCAGAGGACAACACAACATACTAGTAAGTTAACCTTCCACAACCACATGGTGCAGAGTAAATACTTGTTTTGCTTCAAAATAATGCCAGAGATTTGGCTACTGAGCCATACAATCTGTACTTTCCAATTTGTGTGTACTTGAAAAGAAAGAGAAAGAAAATATGTTAGGCTGGGAATTACCAGTAAACTATCCTTTGATTTAATTTATAGTATCTTCAAATGCTCATAGGCAGAGATAACATACCAAGGTACTTCTTAATTCAAATCTAAATGGTTTACATATTAACAAGTCTCAAGAAATACTTTCACCGTTCACATGGAAACATTACTTAAACAGAATGGTGACATTCAAGTTTACAAATGAAAGGTGATATTGAAGCTTGTTTCACTGCAATTCCATTATTTTGACACAAAAATAAGTGTGAGGATTTTTAACACAGTCTGACATAACAGTCAAAACCCAAAGCTGTAGCCAGACACAGACAGTGTTGTCTTTGCTATTCTTCCTGTCCATTCTCTTTTTATTATTTATCTTTATTGTTGAAAGTATTACAGGTGCCCCCTCCCCCATTGACTCCCTCTGCCCCACACCCGTGATTGTGAGAAATCTCAGGAGCTAGAAATATGAAAAACGAAGCTACAAGCATGCCCACCCTCTGTAGTGGCTGCCCTTGCAGTGTATTTATTTCCCCTTCAAGTGACATCTCAGGTGCTGCTCGGTCCACTTAGAGGCAGCTCACTTGTCCCACTGGAAGGAATTTGGCTCCTTTGTATTCACATCCACACCCCCCCTCCCGGTCCTGTCCCACCAGCCGGGTCCCCTGTATGCCCAGGACACAATATTAGGCTTCAGTTTCTTCAAGAGCTAACACTATGTCTTACTCATTTTTCCTGCTCTCCCAATATTCCTCTATTATGTTATTTCTTTCTCCAAGAAAACCAAGATTGTACCAGGAGAACATGTCATTATCACCCAAAGCCAGCAATTTACATTAGAGTTACCTTCTGGTGTTATATTGTATATGTGTTTGGACAAAGGTATACTGACATGTAGACACCATTATACTATCATTCAGAATAGTTTCACTTCCTTAAAAATCCTCCATGCTCTGCCTACTTATCCCTCCTTCTCCCCAACCCCTGACAACCATGCTTCCTTTCACCACCTCCATTCCTTTTCTAGAATGTCATATAGTTACAATCAGGAAGTATATAACCTTCTCAGATTGGCCTCCTTTACTTGGTAACATGCATTTAAGATTCCTCCATGTCTTCTCATAATTTGGTAGTTTATTTCTTTTTAGTGCTTGTTTAGTGCTTATTTTACTCTATGGATGTAACAGTTAATTTATCTACTCACCTACTGAAAAATACCCTGGCTGTTTCCAAATTTTGGCTATTATGAATAAAACTGCTGTAAACCTTCTTGTGTGAATATACATTTTCAACTCATACCCAAGCACAAGAATACACACACACACACACACACACACACACACACACACACACACTAGTGGCCTGGTGCATGAAATTCATGCACATTAAAAGGGAATTAATTAGAGAAAATATTTTAATATTGCTATTTGCCCTTTCTCTATAATAGAAGTGTCAGATGAAAGAAAATTAGTAAAATGTATATGAAAACCTTCCTCCTGTCAGAGACTGGGGTACACCACGGGACCCAGAGTCAAGTCCCCGCCCACCCACGTGCACCTCGAAATCATACGAGACTCAGACCCAGCCGGCCCCACCCTCATTGGGAGAGATCCAGACCCGGCTGGCCCCACCCCCGTCAAGCCTCGCCAGGCAGGGGCACAGCCTCAGGTCCCCCGGCCCAGCGCTGGGCAGGGGCGCATCCTCAGGTCCCCTGTCAAGCCCCACTGGGTGGGGGACGCAGCCTCAGGGCCCTCGTCAAGCCCTGCTGGGTGGGGAGGTGCAGCCTCACGTCCCCCAGCCAGGGGCAGGGGATGCAGCCTGTGGTCCCCCGTCAAGCTCTGCTGGGTAGGGGCACAACCTGAGGTCCCCCTTCAGACCCCACCAAGCAGAGGGCACAGCCTGAGGTCCCCCTTCAGACCCCACCAAGCAGAGGGCACAGCCTGAGGTCCCCCTTCAGACCCCACCAGGCAGAGGGCACAGCCTGAGGTCCCCCTTCAGACCCCACCAGGCAGAGGGCACAGCCTGAGGTCCCCCACCCCGGCCTGGTGCCACACAGCCTCAGGTCCCTGCGAATCGCTGGTTATGGCTCATTATGGGAACCCCACCTCCACTGTGGGTGCAGCCATCTTGTGTTACAGGAACCCTGCCTCCACTGTGGACGCAGCCATCTTGTGATGGTGTGGTGGAGTGAGGGTCAATTTGCATATTACCTCTTTATTATATAGGATTTTTATTTATTTCAGGGAGAGGAAGGGAGAAGGAGAGAGGGATAGAAACATCAGTGATGAGAGAGAATCATTGATGGGCTGCTTCCTGAATGCCCTCTACTGGGGATTAAGCCCACAACCTGGGCATGTGCCGTGGTGGGGAATTGAACCTTACCTCCTGATTTTATGTTCAACCACTGAGCAATACTGGCCAGGCAGGAATTAACTTTTTAAAACTTCATTATAAATACTGTGATGAATGTATCTACACTTTAATATTTCATTAAGAGTGGTTAATTAGTATTTAAATTATACTGGTCAGGAACATACACTCCAGATGTGGCTGATAAGCAGCATCAGATACCTTTATTAAAATTTTCACCAGAAAGTTCAATGCATAATTATAAGGTATATTAGAAATAATTTTTTATTGGTGAAATAAGTGATTGTTCAAGACTTGTTAACTTAAAAATTGTATAGCAATCACCATAACTTGCATGAACAAGGGGCAAACTTTGTGCCCACATAGCAGCTAACCTAACACTTAGACTCTATGCCCCAAACTCCAAATAGTCCCACAGTCCCTTGCCTGCTTTGAAAAAGTTTCTGTTCAATGGACACAGACACTAGGAGGGTGAGGGCATGAGGGGGGGGGCGGGGGGGGACAATGGGGGAATGACACATATGTAATACCTTAATCAATAAAGAAAAAAGGTATAACAGAAAAAAATAAAGCATCGAAAAGGGGATATATATATATATATATATATATATATATATATATATATATATCAAAGAAAAAAAATTAAAATCCCAATAAATTTTATTTTGAAAATTTAAAAAATAATTATAAATTCGTATCTTTCAAATGCAAAAAGAAAATGCACCAGTAAAACAATGCCAAGATGTTATAGGGGGAACAATTGTGAAACAAACAAAACACTCTTGAATTAAACATATGAATTTTAAAAATTAAAATAAATGTTTAAAAAACTTTCTATGGAAGAATTTAGTAAAAATCTCCTCCCCAAAGCCAAAGACAAAGAAATGGAAATATAAGGAAAAAAGCTAATATTACATAATTAATTCAAGCAATTAATTTCCTGAACAATAGGAGCTCCAAAAAGAGGGTGGGGTGGGGAATATGAAGATGTATAATTATCTGGGAATAATAAAAGTAAGGGTTCCAGAGCTTGAGAACATGTGGATACAAGTAAAATAAAAAGCCAGCCAAATCCCAAAATAATGAATGAGAAAAGACTTATTCCAAGTATTTTTACAATCGCGAAATTTCAGAAAACAGATGCAGAGAAAATTCTGGTCTGGCTCTGCTTTGTTTTCCCCTGAATCTTCAGTGCTTGTGTCATAGCCTGTGGCTCAGAGACCCTCAATGTGCACCCGAGGAATGCATGCCTGCATGGTGAATGCAGGAACCATGCAGATAGCTGGAGTCCTGAACACAGGGCATCCCTTTGCTTCTGAATTAGGTCAGTCTGTTAGGACTTATACTTCAAGTTGCTACCTTACTAAACTTTTTTTTTCCTTTTAACATGGTTTTATTCTCTTAACATAGTCTATTTTGCATGTGTGTAATCTTATTCAAATAAAACATTACTTGAACATTGCTTTTGTTATTATTTTTTTAAAAAGTCTCTGTTGCCAAAACTAAATATTTTTAAATTACTAAAAAAAGGCTTTAAGAATTTTTGAATAACATTTAAGTATTAACTTCCGTTTTATGTTACAAGGAATACATAAAACAGAATATTTAGTGTGATGCCAACCATTTAAAGAAAGTATCACTAATCTACTTATATTCCTTCTACACAGTACTTTCCATAAATTATGAACAAACAGTAGTCATTATCCCCGGGT